ATTATCTAAATTAACTTTCTTCTTTTTTTGCAATCAATATTTCATATATCTTTAATATAAATCTTACTGGTATAAATAATGTCACTTTTTCCTTTCATGTGTATTGGGCTTTTACTTCCAAACATAAAATGGACAAAGGTGAAAAAGAGTACAGAAAAATTGTAATCAAGTAAAAGTATTATACTCAATTACAAGTAAAAGTGCTGGAGTTAGAAAATACTCAAGTAAAAGTGCATAGTACTCTTCTCAAAAAACTACTCAGAGTACTAATTACTTTTTAACTGATGGATGTTTTATTGCATCATCAGTGGCTTGTATTTTATTCAAGTCACTCGTATTTATATATGTTCAAAGCACATTTCTTAAATGAAAAAGGTAAAGAAAAATGGCACCAAAAAAAACTTTAATTCAATTCCATGTCCAACAGTCATAAATTTGGGTAAATCTGAGAACTAAATATTTAATTCATAATTTATTAACGCCGTATTAATGCAATATTATTTAAGTAGAGTTGTAAAACATATTACCGCGATATGTTTATTTAAATTAATCACTGAAGTTTTATGAGTTTATATGATAGTAGCTGTCAAACATAGTTTGCACTGCATCTGGACAGTTATGCTGCTATAGGTTTAGACTGCTGGAGGACATAAGGACCACTTTTTTTTAGCTCCATTCTGCTTCATTCTATCTCTGTTCTCTCACTCTGCAGTATTCGTTAGTTTTATCTCTAAATCATGCTCTTTCATTCAGCAGTCTAAACTCCTGGAGTCTAGCATAACTGTAGCGATAGTTTAGAATAACTTGAGCCAGTCTAACTATAAATATGCCAAAAAGGAAAGTTTTAAGCCTAGCATGGTGTCTATTTTTTAGGGGGCTAAAACTGCTAGGTTGTTGCACAGCAGAGGAGCCTGATAATTAAAATACTAATGCATGAATAAACTAACAAATTATTTTCCTTTTAGACACTACAGTAAATTGTAAATTTAACACATACAAGCATTACATATAATTACATACATTAATTATCAAATGATATGTATAACTAAGTGCTTAAGTAAACTTTATTCATACATCTTCTCCTTCCTACAAACTTTAATATCAACAGTCTTTCCGATTCCCTTAAATTAGGAGTTGATGCTAGGCCAAAAATTCATAAGTGAGCAATTAAAATAATTTTTGTATATATAAAGATACATATGCAATTTCACACGTGCTAATGAAATCAGTTAGAGTTAGGTAGTATTTTACCATTCAGTCATACTTTTTTTGCTTTCTGCTTTCTACCATAGCACATTAAAATCACCATTTTAATTGCCTTAGTTTATAATGTTTATAACTTAAATATTGAAGTGTAAATGCTTGCATGAAAAAAAATACACCTCGACTAAAGGTAATGTTTCCTCCATTCAATTCAATTCAGTTTATTTATGTAGCGCCAATCACAACACATGTAATCTCAAGGCACTTTACAGTTCACCAGATCATCCAGTCAGATTGATTCAAAGTTTTCTATCTAAGGAAAACCAGTTGATTGCATCGACTCATTGACTTGAATACAATCCCTCACACTGAGCATGCTTGTAGCGACAGTGGAGAGGAAAAACTCCCTTTGAACAGGAAGAAACCTCCAGCAGAACCAGGCTCAGTGTGAACAGCCATCTGCTGAGGCCGACTGGGGTTCAAGGAGACAGAAGCAGAGATACAAAAAGCAGCTGTAAAAGGCGGCTCCGTACAGGAAACACACAGCCATTGAACAGCATTTTTGCTTGGATGCTTTAATTATAAAATATTGTGTTTTTGTTTATTATTTCCAACATTTCATTAAAAGTTTTGGTTAATTGTGAACTGAATCCACAAACCCTGACATGACTTATGTTTCAGATCAAGGCTTTAGCAGCCTGACCTGACACTTGGCACTGACTTTTCACAAGAACTCAAATGAATACCCTTTAAAGATCAAAACATTGTTAAGATAGCATTTATGTTATGAAATATAGATGATTATAATAACATTTAGCTCCAGCAGAAAAGGTATGCCTCCTATCCAGGTTTAAATGGCAGGTTATTGAGCACCACTAGGAGTTTGTCTGATCACATGTCCGTCTGAGGTCATGGTCTCAGTTCTTCTTGAATGTTCCTAGAACTAAATATAAACTTTGGGGTGACTGCGCCTCCTCAGTTGTGGCACCAAGACTGTATAAAACCAGCCCTTCTGGGTCAATCACTGACCTTTTTATTCATTTTAGCATCACTATTATACTTAGCCTATAGTAGTACTGTTATATTTTATTCCAGAAAAAAGAAAAATAATTATTAGAAACTGAATTGAAAAGCAAAACTCAACATCAAAATCATGACTTTTTATTATATTATTACAAAAATTAAATGACATGATCCAACAGTAACAAAGATTTATTTATTTACAGATTATAACTTTTAGGGAAGCAGAACATTCAGAGCAAACTAGCTCTTCTAGTACATGTGTCTCCTGTAAAGCACAACCAGGACAAGGAAGCAGAAAAGACAGAAATAAAAAATAGAGTTGAAGGCCTCTTCAGAGAACATCTGTGGACTTCTACAACATCATCGCTTTTTGCCTCTTTCCTCAGTTTCAACACCATCATCTCTGAAGGATCCAGAATGGTCGTCTTTCTCCTAAGTAGCTTATAGTTCTGATAATAACTGATCCTTTGGATTAAAGGTCAAAGATGCATTTTATATAGATTAACACAAAAAAACAAAATAAGGTAACATTTATAAAAATAAACAAATCCTTTAGATTATTATTATTTTAGCTTTAATAAAACTCAAATAATGAAAAAAATATTTACAAAAAGTAAGACTACCGGCAAAAAGACCATTACAATAATGATTTAAGGAATATCCTTTTACATGATTTCCAGAAGAAAAAGAGAATACTAAAACGAAAAAGAAAAAAAAGTATTCCTCATTTTTCCAGAAGGAAAGTTTTTTTTTTTTTCATTAACTTTTTTTTTTTGGCTGCTAAAAACTGCAACCTACAGGTAAAAAGGAATATATTGCTCCATCTAGTGGTGAAGTACAGATTCATTCTAAATCATCCATCCATCCATTTAATTTAGAGAAGCCAATTAACCTGTCAAACAGTCATGTTTTAAGACTGTGGGAGGAAGCCGGAGTACCCAGAAAGAACCCATGCACGCTCAGGGAGAACATGCAAACTCTGGGCTGGTAATCAAACCCAGAGCTTTTTGCTGCAAGGCGGCAGTGCTACACACTGAGCCACTGAGCATTCATCCAAAATCAGTCTTTAAAACGAAAATTGAAGGAGGTGACACGAAAGGCAGTGTCTGCCTGGCACATCTCTACCGAGTCATCCCGTTCTTCAAAGGCAGTGCTGATGAACCAGCCTGGGTACTTCACTGACTCGAAGGTGGCCATATCTCTACACACCATGGACTTGTTGAAAAGGGAGTCCTGCATTTGTTCATCTGGGCTCAAACACTTGTCACTGCAATCCTAACAGACACAGAAGCAAAGAAATTAGAATGTTTCTATAGACAATACTAAGAATAGATAACACATTTATAATCACTCCTAATGGTGATTGTTTAGTTATAATGTTCAACTAAATCACATGAGCAGGCTGACAAAAATAATCACTCTGATTTTTAGGTATTTTGTTGGTAGTAACAATTTCGCTCAAAACTTTTCATACTTGACAGATTTAGAGTTAGAATAAAGCTGTCCTCACAAAGCATTGTTTTTTTCTTCGAGAAAAGAAGTATGGAATGAATTTTGTGCCATTATTTTTGATACCAAGGGACATGTTGACAACATGGAAATTTGAAAAAAAAAAACATGAAATGCGAAACTCTAAAAAAGCTTTCTCATTGAGAAAATATTTGAAAATTATCTTAACTGTTTTCTAAGATTCAATTTTTTAAAATTATTTGTTTTTTTTTAATCAAATTTTATTTTTGCAAATTTATTTTTAATATGGAATTTTACGAATTGCAGTGAAGAGCGAGCACTCGTATTAGGGCTTAAGTGGAGAGAATATGATCTTTAAAACGCAATTTGTAAAGTATGCTGTTAATAAAACTTAATCTTAAAAATCAAAAATATATAAAATCTGAAACAACAAAAAAAAAGAAAAAAAAACATGAGAAAAAATAAAATCTGAGGAAAACAGCAAAGTTACTCAAAATATTTTTTGGATTAACACTGCTTTTAGAGTTTTTATTTATTTTTAATATCCATTTATAAAAGTTTTTTGGTTGTTGTTTTTTTTCTACTTTTTTTTTTGGTGTAACAATAATGGGACAAATTTAACTCTATAAAAGAAAATAGGAGATTTTTAAAAGATGATAAAACACCTAATATTTATTAAAACAATATTTTTCTTCCCTCTAATCTTCCTATAACTGCAGACCAGCTTTCTGGATGTTTCCTTGGGTCTTTTGTTGTTTAATCTTTGGTGATGAGCTCCAAAGCCTCCACACCATCAACCTATTCTTTATCTAACTACAGATTCTCTATCAATGCAGATAGGATGTTCCACAATGTTGATATTACTTTCAGTTTAACCATTTATTTCATTTTATATAACAAATATATTTTGAAAAAACTTTGCAAATTTAGGTCATTTATTCAATTAATTTCAACCATGGCCGCCTGCAATTACACTGGGCCTCCACTAGGGGTAGGGAACTGATGTTTTAACACCAGAGTACCTCCTACACAAAAATATGTAATATATAAGTGTAAGTGGGTATAAGCAATAAGGGGAAATTCTTATGTGGGTCAAGAGTTCCTGTTGGGTTTTAGTCAAAAATCCCCTAAATCATTGAAAAAAGAAATGTTAAGCAAATAAAAGCAGCCACATAAAAAAACAAACATTTAAATTAAGTTGGAAACAAAAATGATTTTTGCATAGAAGGAATTTTGTGATTATAGTAAAGCTGTGGATGTTTAGGATCTGGTGTTTACCTTCAGAAACAGCAACACTTTATCATCTGGTTTAGAGCAACACAAATGCAACTTCTTGGAGTTAGACCTGATTGATAGGTGGACCGTAAAACCCGTGTTGGGGTAGCAGGTTGCAGGTCTGTAGCAGGACATTTCAAAATTCACTGAGGAGAAGAAAACAAAGACAGAGGTTTAGTTCAGGCACTTTCACTTTTAGTATTTACAAAATGTGGGGGAAAAAACAAACAAATTGCCATATTTCATATTGAAAATATAATAATAATTAATAACAAGTACATTTTTATTTTAGATTAGGGGTTCTCAAAGTAGGGGTTTGGGTGCTTTGTTGAAACAGTCAATGGGGGATAGCCATATGATTTTCACAATCATTGTGATATGATTTCTGAGGTATATGAGGAGCCAAAATGTATTATAAAATACACAAATGTACCATGAAATATGCAGATAGTATATTTTAGAGAATCAAGAATTACATAAATATACCATTAAATGTGTAGATAAAATTATTACAAATGTCCCTTTAAATAATTTTAAGATTGTGATTCAATTTCATTTTAAAAACGTTGTATTTGTATATAATTATGGAGAAAAATCATGATATGTATTTTCAGGAGTTTTATGGTTTGTGGCACTGTTATTTTGATGATATTATTTCTGCAACTAAAAAAATAAAGAGCATGGTTCTATGGATAAGTCATATGGATAATTTTCCATGTACTTTTAGAAAAAAGGGAATAAAATGGTAAAAAAAAAAAATCAGAAATGAAAAGTATTAAAATATTTAGAGTGGCTCAGGTCATCCTGAGTTAATTCTATTTCTTTATGCTACTATAGGCTTAGACTGTCGGAGGACAGAGTGACCACTTTTCCTCATTTTCCTTCATTCTACTCCTATTCTGCAGTATTTGTAAGTTTAACCGTAACATTATGTTCTGTCTGCTCTCGCTCTTCATAGCAGCTTCATCTGGTCTGGTTCTGTTTGCCTGTGACATCATCCTGTTGTTAGATATCAGCTGGGCTGCTGACATCAAACCCTTTGATCAGAGATAAGTTGAGCCTGTTTTTCACTGATTAGTCCCGTTTATCTCCTGGAGATAGCTGTGGGCTCTGCTTTTACTGTAAGTATCTGTATGCATTTTCTTTCATCCCTTTGACATGAAAACTAACTCAGAGCTCATCTGTGTATTTTTTTCTTCGCCAGACAGAGCCTCCTGTGGAGCTAGTTTATTGCCACCTTTAAAAACATAAAAATATTTATAGATCAATGCTTTTACGTTCCTTTTGTTATTTGTGTCCTGTTTTGCTAATATAGTTAGTTTATAGCCCATTAGATTTGCTTTCATAAGCACACCACTAAGACTGTTGCCATAAGGCTGTGCTGGCACTTGTTTAAGGAACTTTATTGAAAATTATTTGAGAGTAAAACTGAATACAACGAACACGGAGACAGAAAGGGAGGTGAGAAAGAAAGAAGAGATAAGAACTAAGGGGAGAGAGAAGGACATAGAGACAGGGAAGAATGTGTGAAATGGAAATAAAACATAACTGTAGAAATAGACAACATGGAAATATGAGGTGAGAGGAACACAAGAGAGACAAGACATCAAGGCAGTAGGATGGGAACCAAAGACTGGAGAACACAAAGAGAGCCAGAAAGTTCAGCCAAGATATGAGTCTTTTTCTGTCTCCTCCAACCCCAGTCAGCCTCAGCAGAAGGCCGCTAACACTAGTTTTTCCTCTCCACTGTTGCTGCATGCATGCTCAGTGTGATGGATTGCTAAAGAGTTGAAGGCACAATACAAAACTACAACTACTACTGTCTCCACATGGTTATCAAGGAGCAGCAAATCCTGCAAAGTCAAAGACTCGATGCAATCAGCAGGTTATTTTTAGATATAAAAACTTTGAGTCGATCTGATTGAATTGTTTTTTAAAGAGCCAGTGGATGACAATTCATGAATTGGTGCTATAAAAATAACCGAATTTGATTTAATTTAAAGCTGAGAACATTTGTATTGCATTGCTAGGCTTCAAATTTTAGCGCTGAATAAAGATGTTGAATTTTATTAAAGTCAAGGACATTCACAGACGGCCCTTCACACCACAACTTTGTTAAGTTTTCTTCATGATTTGGGGTCTTTTTCCTGCTCGTTAGTTGATTTCTATTTGACACATTCTCTAAAAAATGGTGTGGACAAAGCACCTGCTACATAGAAATCCCCAGAGAATAATACTGCCACCACCGTGCTTAGCAGGAGGGTTGTTTGTTTTATCCATAAAAAGTTGTTTTTTTTTCCATATCAAATGTTCTGCTTTGGACTCTTTTGGTCGGACTTCCTCTAAAGCTAAAAGAAAAGTTGTTTGAAATCGAAGTATTCAATAAAAAGTTGTTTTTTTTTCCATATCAAATGTTCTGCTTTGGACTCTTTTGGTCGGACTTCCTCTAAAGCTAAAAGAAAAGTTGTTTGAAATCGAAGTATTCAATAAAAAGTATTTTTTTTTACCTTTAAGATCACAGTATCCGCCTTTCAGGGTGATGGCCTGCAGCCTGAACTCTTCTGAATTCTGAATGAGATCTTTCTTGTATTGGTCACTTAGCTCTACATGTTTCACAAGCCTGGAATAGTTGAAGTTTTTCTCTTCTGTGCAGAAGCTGCTGCCTTTCTCAACTACTATTTCTGTAGAGAGAAAGAGATGGAGAACTATTAGTCACATTTAAAAGCAGGATGTTAAGAAGTTATTATTGGGTCAGAAATTCTAAAGGCAACACATCAGAATTTTTTTTGTAAACAGAACTACTCCGGGGTAGGACAGAGTATTAGGGCCAGGCTAGAGAGTTTTTTTCTTCTATTTAGAGAATAAAGTCATAACATTACAAGAATAAAGTTGTAAAATTATAAGAATGATATCACAACGAGAATAATCATAAAATTATGAGAATAAAGTCATAAAATTATGAGAATTAAGTTGTAATATTAAGAGAATAAAGTTGTAAAATTACGAGAAAAAGCTCCTAAAAGAAGCACTGTCTTCCCTAAAATGAGGAATGCGGAGCATCATGTGAAGTTATACTTTGGTTCTGGTTTGACAAATAAGGAAACCTTTTAGCAGCAGCATCAAACTGGGCAGAATGTCACAGTGGACTCAGGTTGCTAATTGGCGGAGCTGGTCGGAGGTCGAAGCTTTCTTTCTAAAACGGGTTGTGGTATGATAACTTCATTCTCGTAATGTTATGACTTCTCTAGCCTGGCCCTAATACTCCGTTGTATCAGGGAGGGGGGGTAATTGACAGTACATTCTTTATTTAATGCAGAGGTATGTAATTCTGCAGAAAGAAATCAAAATAACAACATTCTGTTGAAATTCAGTTTATAAAAAAAGCCGGTATGGAGTGAACTTTACTCCATTATTGTTGGAAGCAAAGCAAATACTTTGTAAAAAAAAAAAAAAATTTAAAAGACATGCAATTGAGAATTTCTTTTTTTCTTTTTATAATTTTTTATCCAAAATGTTTTTTTCCATTTTTTTTTATTTTCACATGTAATTTCTATATTTTTATATAGCATTTTTAGGAACTGTAATATTTTCTAAATAGCTTTGACAGATCATATTCTCTTCACTTAAAGCCAACACAAATACTCGCTCTGACCAATAAAAATGTAGCTAACGTCCATCCAGACCAATAGAATAGCAGCTTTATTCCTTACTCACGAGAAAAGCCCACCCCAAGAAATAAAAAAAAAAAAAAAAAATGTGATCTGTAGAATGCAATTTGATCATCTCAATCTGAAAAATAGAAATTTGAATAAGACTAATTGGAAAAATGAAATCTGAGAAAATAGCTTAGATATTCCAAAATCTTTAGTTTTAAAAGTTCCGTTCAGGTATTGCATGTTTTTAAAATATCTATTTACAAAATGTGCTCTTTGCTTGCAAAAATAATGGATCAAAATGCACTCCATATGCCTGCAGAGGGACCCAAGCCAAATTTTTCATCAGAAATACCAGGACCTTTATTTTTGGTAATTATTTATTGAAAAAGTTTTCAAATAAACTCATAAAAAGCAACTAGAATGACCAAACAGTGCAGTTGTGTTTTACTACCAACCTTCCATCACACAGTCCATGATAGTGTTGCAGAGCTGAGCATTGCTGAGGTCTCTGTCAAACTTGAACTTGCTCAGCTTGTTGAGAGCGAGCACCAGGTTAGCGACGCCCTTCATGGTCTTCCTGTTGCGTGTAACCATCAGGTCCAGACTGTTACTAAGCTCAATGATTTCACACTGCATATTCTGCAAGAGAGAAAAAAAAAAACACAAACCACATCAACTCTACTGTCTGTCACTCTTTTATGTTGTTATTTCTGATTTTATATCACTTTGTGCAACTTTCTCTATCACAGGTGTGGTTTACAGGACATGTCAGGACGGGGTGCACTAACTTTTTTCGTTTGTTTTTTTCATTAAACCGCCTGTCCTGAAAGTATATTTGATAAAAAAAAATCAAACACTTCTGTCACTCTGCCTGCTTTTCTTCTTTTATGTCTGAGCCAAAACTGCAATAAAGTGTGACATACCAGGAGCATGATTATTTTCTATTACTTCCTAAAACAGTTTGCCTTTTTCTTATATTTATAAAACCCAAAAGGACACATCAAGGCAAATCAGAACAGGATGCCTCCCATCACCAAAGTAGACTTTTACAGAAAATGGCTGCATTGGATAAAAAAAACATAAAATTTAAGGGAAAGAGGAGGTAAGTACTGGGTACAACGATAAACAAGCTTTGCCTGGGATCCAGACATGTTCACAAGTCATTTTTTGCAAGTCCAAGTCAAGTCTCAAGTCTATTTGCATGCTTGCTTGTTTCTCCTTGTGTTTTCATCTCCTTCACTGAGACGGTATAGCTTAAGAGTCACTATTAAATCTATGGAATGATCATTATCTTAAACTGGTCAGCTACGTCAGTGCTACATGACTGTTTGACAGCCCTT